GTGGTCAATCGCGATTAGAGGTCGACTCTGTGAGCGTGGAGAGACACGAGCGTGGGGTCCAGCGGTAATGGTCCCTTTGTCTGCAGTATCAAGAGGAGTTTCTGTTGAGGATCAGCAGGAGACCGCGGGACGGGAATTGAAGGACGCTTACCTGAAACTTCTCGGAGAGCCAGCGAGGCTCTGCTATCGGCCATCCTATCCAGCTCGCCACCTCGATTCATGGATGTCTCGCGGACAGACAGCATTGATGGGTAAGTCGGCGTATCTGCAGACTCGCCTCTCTGCTCATCATCATGGCTAATCACCATCGAGTCATCTACAACAATTGGGTCATCTGAGATGGGGCTGAAGTTAGCAGATCGGTAGAACAGAGCTGAGTGAGCCTGGAGACAGACCTCTACTTTCACCGGGGGGGCGGTGTTGGCTCGGGGTGCTCAACGTGATATCTTGGATAAATGGTCTATGGTTTGGTTGCACTGAAGTCTTCCCCTCTAAAAATCATTCACCGGTAAAGAGTAAATGGTGAGACTGCTGCAATTGGGGAAGATTGATATTGGAAGAAAAATGAGGAGAAGAAAAAAGGTTTAAATATTGTCAAAGCATCCAGGCTGGCAAAAAATAGTGATAGCAGAATGCTCTAATTGGTAGGTGAGATGGACTCATCTACTTGACATAGCCGAAAACCAACGAAAAAAAAAATAGATAGACGATGATGTGTTTTCCAAAAAGGATAACGGTTGAACATGGGAATACGTGGACGAGTAGATGGTTAGACACCTAGGTAGGGTCCTTGCAATAATTTTACGGGTTTGAAACAGGATTGGTTGGACACGACAAAGCTCGAGATCCCGCTATTCGTTCAAGAGAGCAAGCTTCCCATTTATTCAAAGGAATATCCAGAGAGGCGAATATGAGGATACTTAGGAAAGGCCTCAGAACTAAATGACGTTAACCAAAGAGGGTAAGAATCTGACTATATCTGGGTCGTCAATGGTGTGGCTGTAGGAGCTGACGCAAGATACGCGGGAGGAGCAAATCCTCACTTCCTGGACAGCCACCAAATATCGAATAGTATTCCTGACGTGCAGAAACACTGAGATGTATGGATGCGAGACGACTGGATGGCTAGCATGGGATAGGGCAGGTATGCGAGCGTGGTGCATGTGCATCGTCTCTGCAGAATGATTGATCGCGATAAGGTTGCGGCTCAGCCAATGAATGACTAAGCGTGCAGGTTTTAATCTCCGCGCGGCCTCTTGCTACATCCACGCACACCATCCTCAGCATCGCATGTATCACGCTACAACTCCACGACAGCAGAAGCTACAGCTACAACAACGCACTACTGTTACATTCCATAGAACTCCCTGCTTCTTCTAATTGAATGGGGTACAGTGGATCTGCCAATTTAAAGTTTGCAAGTGCCCCTCTTCAAGTTTCCTCCCGTTGAGCCTGATCATAACCATCAGGCTTCAGGAGTAGTAAACTTATGGTGTCTGTTGGGTCGAAATCCCCTTTTCCTTGTTGTGATCGCAATACCTCAAAATGTGTCGGTAAGATACAAGGAGAGGAGTTGCAGCAATGTAAGTACGTTTCTTCTTTTCTGATGTATAGCCCCCTTGGCTATAAATATCTAGGAAGCTACCAAAACCCACGGGCGCCTTCACTAAACCACATATTTACTACACTTCCAACTCAAGTTCTTTGCCTTCTCTGACTATCGTTTTGTCAATAGCCTTGCTGATCTTCCCGCCTTCATTTCAGTTGTTGATTGGGCTGGGAAATTCATCGTGGTGGATTTTTGAAGCTGGATTTGGCCCGCTGTGTTTTTTGAATTTTTCCGCTTCTCCATATCATAGATATCTGGTTGTCTTCATAGCCTTTGCTGTCCATCTATTCATGCAATCGATTTTTATGAGTTGGTGGACATTCCTTGAAGCACAGCTCTAAATCGAATGTATCCCTTTCTGTTTCATTCTGTATGTGTTTGATTGAATTTGTTCGGCTTAAACCCGAACTGCTCTCATCAACTATCCCTCGAAAGCTGTGCTGTCGTTCTCTGATTCTTTCAGTCCTGACATATTTGAAGTATCACGCACCCGCACTCGTTCACACCTCCAGACACTCCCTAGGGTGCATATTTCCTGGTGGCGGCTCCCCATGAGCCAGTGGTTTTACTATGTCTCTACAGACCACATACTTGACCGACGGCAACTGGGAAAGGCGGCAAATTAACATTGGAGAAATTATGTCCAGCAATCAAGTTACTTTGAATGATGATGCTGCGAGCAAGCCAAGTCGACGGAAGGTTCCACTCACCGGGTTGCTTTCTCGGACGGTGATCCCTGGTCCTGTGATCCAACGAGTATTACCTGCCCGGCTCAGACATCGTAATAAAGACGACATAGTCTTCGTAGGGGATAATTTTATACAGATCAAGGAACTCGTCACCAGCGGCTATCTGGAAGACGTCACTACGAAGGCAGATTTTGATACCAAAATCCTCGATGCCAAAGTTATTGGAGACCCCGGAAATGTGATCCCTGAACTGCAATTGGGAGAAGGGGTCGGATTGGGTTCATCTTCTCGTATGCCCTCCGAAGATCACTGGCACCGGCAGATTCTTGTTCTAGTTCTGGCTTCCAGGGAACTACTTTTTCTTTATGGAACGGAAAGCTTTTCAGGTCGCCCGGAATTCATTCATGTACGACGCCCTTTGCCATCAGATGTGAGCTCCCTTGAACAATACGGCAGATATATTGCGATCGATCCTAGGTTGGTTCATATCCTGTTAGCATCCATATTGTAGTATTCAACTTAACCATACGCGTATACAGATCGAGAGCGATGGCGGTTTCAGCAGCGCATAAATTTTTCGGAATTTTCTCCCTAAAGCCCCCATCTGTTATTCGCTCAGAAATGCAGGAAGGGCCGGTTAATCCAATTCAAGAGGTATGAGTATATTCAATTCTTAATTTCCTAGCTATAACCTAGTTTCAAAAATATTTATGGCTAACCCACCTCTGACCTAGGAACGCTTCTTTCGTGCTGATGGAGATATAGTAGCTATGGATTTCCTCTACCCGGCCTCTGGAGATGAGGATAGGATAATACTAATGCTACTGGTAAACAATCTTACGAAGACTAATATCGCCTGCTATACCTGGAAAGCTGCCGAGGGTGTTGCAAATGCCGAGGCCAAGAGGATTAAATCAAGGGTATCACCGGAGTTCCGACTTCCTTCGCTATTTATCCCCTTGAAATTTGCAACCTCATGTCTGCTAGTTTCCCAAGCTGGATATTGCTTCTACGAAATTAACGTATTGGACAGTACAGTGTCAATGAAAAAGAACAGTTCGGATGAACGTGGAGGTCAGCTTTGTACGGCCTGGGTTCGGCCAAGGAGAAACACTTCTCACAATGAAATAGAAGATGACCTTTATTTGTGTCGCCAGGATGGTGAGCTGTCGTACCTAGAAATTCAGAAGGTGACTGGGGACGCTTGGTGTCATCTGAAAGACATTCGCATAAAATCAATTGGCTGCAATGTCGACAGAGGCTTTGCCATTCTTGACTCTGGGTTTAAAGCTGGAGGTGATATACTTGTGGCAGCAGGCTGTATGGGTGACGGTGGCCTCTTCCTGTTGGATGCTAGGACGGATTCGAGATGTCTCCAACGGATCCCGAATTGGGCTCCTGTTCTTGATTCAGTTCTAATACAAAGTCGTGATTCGCAGGGAGCGGAAAACCATCAAAATGGACGCAATGATGTGGACTTTGCCTACGATCGGATCTTTACATGTTCGTGGGATGGTCTTTATCGCGGGTCAATTACCGAATTGCGCCATGGAATCGAGGCCCGAGTCGGGCTGGTGATTGTCCAGGAAGATTTGTTAAGTATTTTGGACTTATGGGCCATTCCAAACCGACAAACAGGAGGGACATATTTCTTGTTCTCAAGCCCACTATCATCCTCAGTTATTTCACTCCCCGTCGATGCTGAAGATGAATTATATGCGATGAACGAGGAGGATACTGGCCTTGACCTCGACACTCAAACCATTGCCGCAGGAAGCTCCCGGGAAGGGGTGGTCATCCAAGTCACAGATATGTCGATTCACTTATCCACTTTCGAGAATACGTCACTTCGCTACTCAACGCGATGTCAAAACCCGACTGAACGAATTATCGCTGCTGCTGTTAGTGGAACCTTGTCACTCTTTGCTGCAGCAGTCAGGACAGCCTCAAATATCCATGTTCATCTTCGGAAGGTAGAAATCAACGATGGTAGCATTCAATGTCCCACTATTGGGCAACCTCTACCGTTATCTTGCGAGCCAGTTAACTTGACAATCGAACTAGTGCTTTCGCACCCTGTCCTCTTAATTGGGACCACTGAAGGAACACTCATCGTTGCACGAAGCGACCCCGTTCAAGGGCTTGTGCCCTTATTGGAGCAAACCATTGTCCTATTCCCCGAAAATGATAAATCGGCAGTTTGCGAAAGCTTCTCGGTTCTTTCCATCCCTATGCGTGAAAGCCCGAAAACAAAATTGTTTTGTGGGCTTCGGAGTGGCACCATGGTCTCATTCGATGTGCGGCTTGATAGAGACTCTGGGAACATTGGTATGATTATATATTCTCCCTTCACGAATTTGGAAAGATTTTATATAACAGCTAACTCTTTTATCCCTTTTCAAGCACTGATTCAAACCAACACCTATAGGCTAGGCAATACGTCCGTTCGGATTCGAAGATATGAATCAGACACCACTTTCGCTATTGTAACTTGTGGGCGCGGTTTATGGCGCCTATCTATCATTGAAGACGAAGAATCTGATGAGTGTATTCTTCATAGGATATGGGTCACAGACCAAAATAATGTAAATTCCAAATATACCATGAATATTCTGGGCTATCTGCAGCGCTAACGTTTGACTCCAGCCTGCCCGAATTCAATCTACCATCGACGTGTTTACTTGCATCGACTCTGGGCCAGATTTGAATTCGGGAGCACTTGGTGGTTCGTTGGTATGCATCACGAGAAATCAGCTACTCTGCTGCATCTTAGAAAGGACGCCCAAAACTGTTCCCCGACATATTGCTATTCCGGGAAACCCAAAACGACTAATATACTCGGAATATTTGAAAAAAATAGTTGTTGCGTATAATTTTGTTGAATTGAAAGAGAATGCAGAGTGCACGAACCGCTGGAGACGCCCGCGTGTGGACTTCATCGACCCGGACGACGAAAATGCTGCATCGTCTTCTACGACTATAATTGGTGAACCGGCGGGCTTATCAGAGGTTAAACCCGGGCCATGGAGACCGACTGGTGGATCCGGCGAAGAAGTCACTGCAATATTAGATTGGAGTGTCTCGAGCGGTGATAACGTGCATCATATGGTCGTAGTCACCACAGTTCAACCGCACTCTGCCCATCGAGGCCGGGTGATATATATAGTCGCCCGCCCAAGCACTCGAGTTCCGGGCCAAATAGACTCAACAGTGAAACACTCTTTCAAATACGAAGACCCCATCAGATCGATAGCACCCTTCAAACCCAGCTCGTTAGTTCTAGCAGTTGGCGCGCAGGTTATTTTCCAAACTTTAGACCCAGTTGCAAAGAAATGGCGGAAATGCCCTGGATACCACCTAGAGTCTGATGCTGTCGCCGTCACCGTGCGGGAACCTTACATATACGTCCTAACCCTAAAAAATTCTCTCTGTATTCTTCAGGCCACCGACTCAGGCCTTACTCTGCACGGCCAGGACGGATCCGACAGGGAAGGGCTCGACCTCGTCAACCTACAAGATCACTCCCGGATAACCATGACATCAAACCTAGGTGGCGCCATTGTAGGCCTTACAGAAGTGGGACTCACTCCCGAAGATAAACTCCTTCAAAAGGCTTTCACAGCCCACATGCCACTATCCGCCATTCGGCTATCCAGAAGTTCCCGACCAGTCGCAACGGCACTGTGCTCATGCTCTGAGGTGACGTACGGCACCTCGATTGATGGCACGGTATATAGATTCATGACCTTGACCGAGCCTCAGTGGCGTCTACTACGATTTATCCAGAATGTGTGCATGAAGGATCCATCCATATGTTCGCTGGCAAGGCGCAGGCGGAGAAACTCCGTTGACACGTGGGAGGTGACGGTTTCCAAGCCCGAGTCATTACACGTTAATGGGGATATACTGGGTAATCTGGTTGCGGGAGGTATTAGGCAATTGAGACGTGTGATGGGAGCAGAAGAGGCAGAGAACTGCATGGCCGAAAGCTCTGATGGTGGTCGTGGTGGAGACAAAGTAGGTAGGTTTCTAGAGTATGCGGCTGCGATTGTTCCTGGGAGTGAGGATCCGTTTGCTGCTGTTATGTCTTGGATGCGCTCTATGGTGCAAATTTCCCTGTGAGTTACATCTACTTGATGGGGAAATGGACTCGATACAGAGTGGAAATTCATTACTTTATTTCCGTCACATTTTATGCCTGCTTCTCTATTGCTTGGTAAAGCCAACCCGAAAACACTCAAATGAAGTCAAAGGGGAAAAAGGAAAAAAGGATAACAGCATGGATAGAGGGAGTTGCTTATTTGCATTTTTTTTTTTTTTTTTTTTTCATTTCTTCAGTAGGCAGCAATTCAAGTGACCGGCCAGCATCATTCGGAGTTGCTCTGGATTTTTGTTTTGTTTATACAACTTCGCATTTTAACAGTGCTTTCGTATACTTTGACCCAATTCCTCAATATTTACGTTTTCCACTCGAATATGTGACCCATGAGTGATGCGAGATAATGTGAAGCTCAGTCACCGTTTATTTTCCTCTTGAAGTCCATTTTATGTAGGCGGGCTAGGCGGGTTAGGATTAGGAATATTTCGATGGCAGACGCAATTAGAAGATATCTCTGTACTCTAAAAGATCGAGAAAAGCAAATAGAATGATAAAGCTATTTATTTAAACAAGATGATTTGTTAAATTCTCCAGCTCCGGACTCGCTTGGCTGTTCCCCCACATGCAAGTAGAAACAAAAAACTTGAGTTACCAAAAACGAACAACTTGCATTTTTTCGAAACTCACACAACCCATCAGGCTTTTCTTCTCTCGCCGCCTCCGGCATCGCCAACGGAAAAATCACTTAGCGGATAGGCAGACTCGACTTAGCGTTCGATCGCCGTCGGGCTCGGTTTCATTTGCTTCTGCTTCATTATATATTCATTTCCCGACCTCCAGCTAAAGCGATCTTTCTTTGCTCATGTCACCCCATTTCACGTCGAATTTCACCAGCACGCCTCCCCCGCCCCCACCGTTATCATCACTCTCGTTAAGAGATATGCTACGCGCGACATAAACTAATTTGGCAAACATACATGTCTTAAACCTAGCTACGTTCGCAAAACGCAGGCATACACACATATACACACAACCCCACAAACAGATTGATATACTGTGCAACATTGAAAACAATTGTCAAAGTATTAAAAAAAAAAAAAAAAAAAACAAGGGATACCGATAATAAACCATATTTTCGAAAATGCCACCAAAGAAGAAGGGCAGCAAGAAGCAGCAGGAGGATTGGGAAACCGAGCTTGGAGAAACTATTCCGCCCGCCACCAGTACAGTTGCCGCTGCCAATGAGGACGGCAACGACGCTGCCAACGATGCGAATTATAAGAGAGATGAAGACGAGGAAATGTCTGGCGGCCTTCTAGCAGCGCTCAAGAAAAACAGGAGCAAGAAAGCCAAGAAAGGAAAGGGGGCAGATAATGACTTCGTTGAGGGTGAAGATCCGATGGTTGCTACTACTACTAATGACGAGAGCAAGCAGCCACAAGAAGCTAGCTTTGAGGGTGATGAGGATGATGTATTTTCAGGGAATGCTGGCGCTCGGCAGAGGGCGAAGGAGAAGGCGGCGGCGCTGAAAGAAAAGGCTAAGGAAACGGCGGAGGAGGAAGGGGGGAGGTTGAAATCTAAGAAGGAGAAGGAGAAGGAGAAGAAGGAGAGAGAGAAGCAGAGGAAGAAGGAGCAGGTGGGTTCTTTTCACCTTTAATATCTTGATTTTTTATTTTTTTAATCATCAATGTTCGGAGTAGTGATAGAAACTAACTGGGTGATCTTTTTTAATTTTCATTTTGATAGGCTGCGAAGAAGAAGACCGTTACTCCTGCTCCTTCCTCCGCACCAAAGGCTGAGCCTACTAAGCCTGTTGAAGAAAAACCTGTCGCTCCCGCTGCTGATACTGGCGGGAAGAAGAAGAAGATCCCCGCCCATCTCGCTGCGATTCAGAGGCAGCAAGAGGCTCTACGAAAACAACAAGAGGAAATTGCCCGTCTAGAGGCGGAGGAGAAGGCCGCAGCTGAAGAGCGGGCGAGGAAGCTAGCAGAAGAGGAGCGGAAAAAGGAGGAAGCTCGACAAAGGAAAAAGGAAAAGGAGCGGGAGAAGAAAGAACAGCTAAGAAAAGAGGGCAAATTGCTAACCAAGGCACAGAAGGAGGCACAACAACGAAATGAGCTCCGGAAGCAGCAGATGCTTGCGGCTGGCGCAGTGGTCCAGGGGTTAGAAGAGCCTGCGGAAAAGAAGAAGCCGGTATACGAGAGTAAAAAGAAACGCCCTGTGAAGAAATTAGAGGATGACCTCGAGGCTGCTGCTGCTAGAGCTGAGGCTCAACGACTAGAACTCGAAGCTGAAATGGCTAAGAAAGCGGAAGAGGATCGTAAACGTGCAGAAGAGAAAGCGGCTGCGGAAGCTGCTGCCCAGGCCTCCGCGAAGGAAGCGGAAGATGATGGTATTAAAGAAAGCTGGGATATATCATCAGACGAAGAAGAGGAAGAAGAAAAAGGGAAGACAGACCAGGTGAGCCAGATGGGCCAAAACAAGAGTCCAGAAGAAAATGGTGCCGCCAAGGGTGAAACATCTCCAGAGGAGTCTGAGGAGGAATCATCCGAAGAAGAAGACGAAGAGGCTACAGCAGCTCAACGAGCTATTGCTCAGAAAAAAGCGGAGGCAGCAGAAAGACGGAGGAAGCAGCATGAAGAGGCCCTTGCGGCAAGGTCCGCGGATAATCTCCGTTCTCCTATTTGCTGTATTCTTGGACACGTCGATACCGGTAAGACGAAACTCTTGGATAAAATCAGACAAACAAATGTACAGGAGGGAGAGGCTGGAGGTATCACACAACAGATTGGTGCTACATATTTCCCCGCAGATGCCCTGAAGCAAAAGACCACCGTTGTCAACAAAGACGGCTCCTTTGAATTCAAAGTTCCTGGTCTGCTTGTTATTGATACTCCCGGTCACGAGTCGTTCTCCAATCTACGTTCAAGAGGCTCTTCACTTTGTAACATTGCCATTCTCGTGGTTGATATTATGCACGGCTTGGAACCGCAAACACTCGAGTCCATGAAATTGCTTCGTGACCGAAAAACACCCTTCATTGTCGCGCTAAACAAGATCGATCGTCTCTATGGCTGGAAGAAGATCGATAACAACGGCTTCCAAGATAGTTTGGCTCTGCAGAATAAAGGTGTCCAGAATGAATTCAGAGACCGAGTCGACAAGACCAAGCTTGCGTTCGCGGAACAAGGGTTTAACTCTGAATTGTACTGGGAAAATAAGTCCATGGCTCGAAACGTGTCTCTTGTTCCTACCTCTGCACATACAGGTGAAGGTGTTCCAGACATGCTCAAGCTGCTTGTTGCCCTCACACAGGAGCGTATGACCAAACAACTCATGTATCTCACCGAGGTCGAGTGTACTGTTCTCGAAGTTAAAGTAATTGAAGGCCTTGGTACAACAATCGATGTTGTTCTGTCGAACGGTGTGCTGCGTGAAGGTGATCGTATTGTTATGTGTGGCCTAAACGGAGCTATTGCGACAAACATTCGAGCACTATTAACACCCGCACCACTTAAAGAGCTGCGCCTCAAATCGCAATACGTTCATAATAAGGAAGTCAAGGCGGCGCTTGGTGTTAAAATTGCAGCCAACGATCTCGAACACGCTATTGCTGGGTCTCGACTACTTGTGGTTGGGCCAGATGACGACGAGGAAGACCTCGAAGATGAAGTCATGTCTGACCTGGAGAGCCTCCTCAGCAAAGTGTCCAAGGACAACCGCGGAGTCAGCGTGCAGGCCTCCACCCTCGGTTCCCTCGAAGCCCTCCTCGAGTTCCTCCGCGTTTCAAAGATCCCCGTCGCCAACATCTCTATCGGCCCTGTCTACAAGCGCGACGTCATGCGCGCCGGTACTATGTTAGAGAAAGCCAAACAGTTTGCCGTCATGCTTTGTTTCGACGTTAAAGTTGACAAGGAAGCTCAAGCGTACGCCGAGGAAGTTGGGATCAAAATCTTCACTGCAGACATCATCTACCACCTCTTCGACGATTTCACCAAACACATGGAGCAGATCACTGAGCAGAAGAAAGAGGAGAGTAAACTGCTCGCTGTGTTCCCCTGCGTGCTCAATACCGTTGCCGTGTTTAACAAGAAGGATCCCATCGTCATCGGTGTGGATGTCGTCGAAGGCTCGTTGCGCCTGCTCACACCCATCGCTGCCGTCAAAACCAACCCAGTCACCGGCGTGAAAGAGATTATTAGCCTAGGCAGAGTGTAAGTCATATCCCGATGTCCTCAAGAAACGCACCCAACATCAAAATATATATATATATATCACCTTTCGTACTGGAAACTAAGCTAATAAATACTTTTTGTGACTACAGACAATCAATCGAGCGCGAACACAAGCAGATCCCGCTCTGCAAGAAAGGCCAGCCGTCAGTGGCTGTCAAAATCGAAGGCCCCAACCAACCCCTCTACGGCCGCCAACTCGAGGAGAAAGACACTCTATACTCGCTCATATCGCGGCCTAGTATCGACACGCTCAAGGAGTTCTATCGAGCCGATGTCTCGATGGATGAATGGTTGCTTATCAAGAAATTAAAACCGTTGTTTGATATCCCTTGATTTTTTTTCTTGTTTATCTTGTCTATATATTGGTTTTTTATTGCCGAATTTAAAAATCTTATTTATTTTCATCCTATGTCCTTTTTAAGAAAGAGGGGGTTTCTTTTCATTTTCATTTTAATTTTTCTTCCCTGGCTCTATTATAAAGATGGCGATCCCCCTTTTCTTTTCTATTTCACACGTAACTTAAAAGAATACTTTTTCAGAAATTAAAACAAATTCTATCATATTGATTTCTTTTTTTTTAAAGAAACTCCCCCCTCAAAAGTAATTTTTATTCTTTTTTTCTCTCCGTTCTCTAGCCTCTCAAATCATTTCGTGGAAGCTCGTTCTCTTTCAATTTCCTCGTCTCCATTTCCATATCACTTACCAGCCTCCTCATCCAAGGTGGGTTGAAATCTCCTCCTTTCTTATGTTGTTTCAACGAAATAAAACAAGACAAGAGGAATTGCAAGAGATAAAAAAAACGAATCAACGCTGTTCAACCCATCAACGTGTAGACAATTTTTTTTTTTTTTTTTTTTTTTCGAAGATTCCTTGTTCACAAAACCCAGAATCAAGTCAAGAGTTTCCATAACGAATACTGGCAAGTTAAAATGCGAAGTAGTTATGAGTAGTTTTCAATCGCTACTCTCTTTGTTTTGATACCGGGCCCAGAACAAGGTTGGAGGTCATACTTCAGAGCAAGCTGACATCCACCACCTTCTCGTTCTTCTTCTTCTTCTTCTTCTTCTTTTTTTGCTTGCTTGTATCACACCAGCACAATATAAATAAAAAACCCAAATTTATTTCTTTATATCCAGTTCAGCCAAGTCCCTTGAGAGAAAAA